TTGATGAACTGAGAAATCTTTTGGAACTATCCGAGAACTTGTCAAACCCAATCTTTCTGGCTGGATACTTAGCCAGACAAAACCAGAATTCTGGACTTTAAGAACAAGCGTTTGACACCAGCAAGTTCATACATTTTGAGACAAATTTGGTAGGAGTTATACTGAGATTTATAAAGAAAGAAGTTGTAAAGGAAAGAGAAGCAAGTAAGTTTGAGGGGCTAGAGAGGAAAAAAAAAATGTCAAAGATGAAAAATTTGGGAAGAGTTTCTATAATCTGCTAGCTGGGAGAATAGTTTTCTCCTCTTTTATTTAAATCTGAGTGAAGACTTTTCTTCTGTTACTCAAAGACAAAGCTTAAAAAAACCCTGGTGTTATTGCTGGCAGTGTCACAGGACATGTAATTTTTTGTATATACATTGCTGTGGAGTGAGCTAAGAAACACTCTATATTGAGTCTTAAAATTGCCATTTATGCATTACCTGCTCAGGCAATAATTTTTCTATGATCTCATTTTTTCTTAGGTGATCTCATCCATCCTTTTTGCTTAAATTGTCTTACTGTCTAACAAAAATCTTCATGGAACTAATATTTACTTTTTATAAATTACTTATTCAATGCCTTAACTTTGCTGTAGTATTTACCGAGTTGAGCTAGCCTCCTTTTGCTTTGCATACAGTAATAGTTGCCTTTAACATTTATCCATTCTCATGTATTAGGATAAAGACCTACATAACCAAATAAGTAATGTCCAGATCAAAAATAAGTATTAAAGAGTCATAAAGATGTAGGACAACAATAGAAAAGAAATAACTGTTTTTTAAACAATCTTTTCAAGGGAGCTGGCTTGCAAAAACTTTTGAAAAATCACCCTCTTAAACTTGGGTGTTTTGAATGTGTTCAGTCTGAATATCCCAAAACTCAACTGTGTGAAGAAATTAAACAGTGCCAGGGGATGTTCTTGGGCGTTGAGATTCCACTAGTATTGTTGCTATTAAATTTCTGGATCTGTCTCTGGCCCACAGTGATTAGCACTCCCCAAGCAATTCCTATACATGGTTCAGAGGCTGCGAGGGGACAAGGATTATTCCCAGGAGGCAGTTGCATACAGCCAGTCTGTTTTAGCAGGAAGGGGAGTTTAATACTGTGGACACAGGCCAGCTGGCCTCTGAGCTTAGCTTGTATCTTAGACTGCTCTCTGGCACCGAGACCATCAATGTAAACTGGCCTGCTTCTGTACTACTAAATACCCTGGGCTTACAGAGTGGTTGCATCCACATTGCTTATTAGGATGGGACTCTGGCTCATGGTACTTCCTATATCATGCCTGAGGATCATTTGAAAATATGTTAATTGTTATAGACCAAACAATACCAGGAACTGTTCTAATGATTTCGCAGCCTAGAAGAGTCAATTCCAATGCCCAGGAAAACTCCCTGGCACTGCTTTAGTTATGTTAAGGCGATGTAGCATTAGTTAGAAATAAGCTGAGAGGGTGCAAGCACTCTCAGAGACACTGGGTAGGTGAACAAAGTCAAAACAGTGTGAGCTTTGTCAAAGCCAAAGTAGGGGTTCAGGACTGAGCATAATTTGCTTTGAGAAAGGAGCAGAAGGAAACCTGCAGGGCTCAGAGAAAATAATTTAATAGAATTTTCAGCTTTAGAGGAAATTAAGATGATCAGTGTGAAATACTCCTTTAAGCTTCATTTTGTGTATCTCTCAGTAATTGAATTGCAGCTGGATTCTTCCAGGGAGAACCAAAATTTCCTTGCATTGTTAATTTTGCAAAGGTGGCATCACTGTAACTGTCATTTACAGACAAATGGGATATTGAGTGGAGGAGGAGAACTTATTTACTATTGAATTGACCTTGTCTTCCCTTGCCTTGCCTGTCCTGTCTGTGCCTTGCCTTTGGATAATACAGCTCACGCCAAGGGTTTTTTTAACTTTTGTGTTGGCGACACAAAACCTCTGCTGACTTAGAAACAGGTTTACGGATGAGTAGTTCTTTTCAATGAATGTGTCATTTTTCATAAGAAGAGTGGAAGGGAATTACTTTTGGGTATGAGGATGTTTGCCAAAGTTGCGAGAAAGTTCCTGTTTAAAATGAAAGCTGGTAAGAGGAAGAGGTAATAGTTTACAGGGCAAGTGCAAAAGCAGGCAACTGCTAAAAAGGTATTACTGAAAGTTTATCTGACGGGATGAGCGTTCAGATCTGTTAGTCATTACTGATTGCCACTCCTCAAAATACCACCCAGCTGCAGTTTTGTTTAGTAAAAGAGTTATGTTTTATTTTTCATGGAGTCCATCTCAGCTAAATCAACTTTAATAATTGCAAGGTTATTTAAAATCCCCACAAAGTCAGAAGACAAAGATTTAAAATACGTTTTAATATGGCAATGTTTGGTATTTCTATAGATAGAATTTTGCTAGTAAAAGTAGTTTTGAAACACACTGTATTGCATTCAGACTGATAGATTTTTCTTACCTAAGTTAGCACAATATTGTGTGTTTCTGGTAGTACTATCCACTAATGCTGTCCAGGATTTTCCCACGAAGATTCATGCCTGACTTCAAAATACATAACTGAGCCACTTCAGACTGGGATTCAAATCCTTATATTCAAATTAAAAGGTTTCAACACCATGGCTCTAGTTTTGAATTTTTTTAAGGGAAATAAAATAGCAGTCATTTTGCCCTTCTCCCTCCTCTGTCCTCTGCCTCATATATACGCACATATTCTTAGCCTTTTTTCTGTAGTTATCTTTCTTTCCCCCTGCTCTACTCCCACAAATCATATCTTAGCATTATCTTTGTATTACAACCATGCTGGAATATTCCATGTTATATTAGCAAAAATAATTAATAATTAGATATGCCACTAAGATAATAAGATGGAAAACCATTAACATGTCAAGATATCTGTATGCCATTAGAACTGGAATTTTGTTTCTGCTCAGTTTGGCTTGCTTTCAACATCCTCTGATTTTGAAAGAATAAGCAACTCGAGCATATTCCTATGCTAATGAGTAAAGCCATACTGTAGTCTGCACATGAATAAATCCAGGCAGTCATTTTTATTGTCATCAAAGAGCATTTTATTCTATGCCCACAAATGTTCTTGGTAGTCTATGAAAGAGGCCTCTGAGTTAGCAAGTGAAAATAGGCATCTTTCTCACCCCTTGCCTTGGCAGAAGTACATGGTTAGCATTCATCAGCAGTCACAAGTGAACTCATGTTCTACAGACATGTTTTTCTGATTGAGTCTTTGATTGGCCCACTTGTACTTGTGCAGAATGACATGACATTTAATTATATAGTCAGATACTACTTTTCCACCAAGCATTTGCCTCATTCAGTGCGTAAGATGGATGAGAGTGCACTGGGAATTGAATTGGGCTGGGCAATAAGGGAGATTACTGGTTAGGAGTATCTCAGCTTAGTAAGATGAGGACACCACTACAGTTTGGTGAACATTCTTGTCACCTTTAATCTTTCGTGCCAGGCAGACAAACAGCTAGCTACCTCACAGTTTTATTTATGGCCACAGGAATTTAAGAACATGAGCAGACACACTGATTGAAGCCATAGGTCTGTCTAACCCAGTGTCCCGTCTCTGCCAGCAGTCAAAAGTGAACACTTAGGAGAAAGTTTAAGAACAAGACAATACTACCTGCAGGTATTCCCCAACTGCCATGCTTTTGTGGCTCAGGGATTTCCTAATCTGTAGGGGTCTTTAATGTAAATATTAAACCTCAGTTGATTTGTCCGTGCCAGCATCCCATTAAGCCCTTTCAAGTCCTTTTAATCTTTTGCCATATGCTACTTTCTGTGGCAAGGCTCGTGGCTCATCTCCTTCTGCTTGCCTTAAGTTTGCCATGTGCTGGCTTTCTGTGAATGGTCAGTCCCTATCCATTCTCACCATGCAACTCATGCATATGTCTCATATTCTTTCAGAAAAGAAGGATGCTGAGGAGAAGCCAGAGAATGGCTTTCTGGGACTTTCCAGAGTCCCAGAAAGCTGGTAGCATACCCAGAAGGCAGCCAGCTTTCACTTCTGCTGTTATCCATGATAGCTTGATCTGCCTGCCTGTGCAATTGTCGGATACACACATGCTCTGAGATATTTCTGCTTCAGTGACTCTTGGAAAAAAAGACTGTCGATGGCCAGAACAGAATTTCAGGAAGTGTATGAATGATCTTTTGGCCAAGCTGAGTGCCACTGTAGACAACAGGATTTTCTCTCTGATGCAACCACAGAATTTCTGTGTGATGCTGAGCTAGTCCAATAGATGAGACTTTTCCCAGATGGCCGACTGTTAATTATGCGTTTGAAATCATGGGGTTTGATTTGCAGAAAGGCTGAGCACTCACAGCTGCAGCTGACGTCATTGAGAGCTGTACTTTGTACATGCGAAGTGCTGCTTAATGCCAAGTTCCCTGAAAAATCAGTCCCTTCGCATATCGGTCGCTGTAATTAACAGGTGCTTTTGACCTGAATTTCTTTGTGTTGTTTCCCTGTTTGTAATGGAGGACTGATACCACCCCGCCTCATTGGAGTCTGAGCTTTCTACATCCTCGGGCACAACCACAAAAAGCACCACAGTGCACTCTTCTCAAACAGTAACTACGTAATTCAGAGGAGGTTTCTGTTCTGCCTGGAGTATGAGGTCAAAATCCCAACAAAATGACGAAACGGGGTATGGCACAAGTGTCCACCCATTCCACTGTCATTAGGTGTTCTGGGCACTGATCTCACCAAAAAAAAAAATTTAAAAAAAATAAATATATGTACTGATTGTGTAATAGGCAGCTTTTTTTATTTACTGGAGACCAAATTTATATTGCCAAAGTAGCCTTAGTTCTGGCATCTCCTGTTTTTCCTGTATTTCGCAGCACTTGTCAGGGTGTTTAGACAGAATGTTTGAGACGTCAGGTCAACCTGAACCGATTTGCTTGCTGAAATTCTTGTGAAGTATTTTTGTTTGCATTTTGCCTTCCAGAAAATGCCTGCAACAACAAACGCCTGGACCTTGTCTTCATCATTGACAGTTCTCGTAGCGTACGTCCGTATGACTTTGAAAAAGTGAAGGAGTTCATTCTAACCATCTTGCAGTTTCTGGACATCAGTCCTGATGCTACCCGAGTAGGTCTGATTCAGTACGGCAGCACAGTCAAGCATGAGTTCTCGCTGAAGACATTCAGGAGGAAGCAGGATATTGAAAGAGCCGTGAAGAGGATGATGTACCTGGCAACTGGCACCATGACTGGACTGGCTATTCAGTACGCAGTGAACATTGCATTTTCAGAGTCAGAAGGAGCTCGACCTCTGAAGCAGAATGTGCCCCGAATTATCATGATAGTGACAGATGGGAGACCTCAGGATCCAGTGGCAGAGATTGCTGCTAAAGCTCGTAACTCGGGTATCCTGATTTTTGCCATTGGAGTGGGAAGAGTAGACATAAACACGCTGAAGTCCATCGGGAGTGAGCCGCATGAGGAGCATGTGTTTCTGGTGGCTAATTTCAGTCAGATTGAAACACTGACCTCTGCGTTCCAGACTAAACTTTGTGGTAAGATTTTTATCTATAGATTTGAATGCATAGATGAAAGTAAAACACAGAAAAAAAATATGCATTATCATGACACTTTTTTTTTTCACATGGAAACATATCTGTTAGAATATATACATGGAAAAAAGGGAGACTGGCCAGACAACAGTCAGAACAGTAGTCATACATATGTGGAAAAACTAATTCTACTGCTAAGTGCCATAAAATGTGATCTAATTCCTCATGGTCATAAGCAGTGAGGCAAACACACATATCATGATTTTGCTCTTCGTTGCATAATTGCAATAAATTTACAACCCTCTACTTTTTGAATATTAGATAAATTGTCTCATCTATTAATTTTAAATGTGATCTCCCTTAGTACTGAAACTTCAAACTGATAAACAGACTTGGTTATTAAAAAAAAATCTGTGGAGTTTACAGATTTCTCTTCCAAAGCTTACATATTAATTCTGTGCAAACAATTATATCTTGCATGCCTTGTGACTAGAAGTGAGACACAGAGACATGATATTGTTTTTATTCCATCCATTTTGAATGCAGAAAAAGCCATTACAGTGATATTATTTATTTGTACAATGAAGTATATAATATTTTAGCAGGTATTAATTTACCACAGAGAAATCGCTTCCATCTACAGTAATTCCCTGATAAGAAATTACCTTTTCCAAATTTTTCCAAATATCATGGCATGCATAATTAATTTTATTCCAATCTGTGTACTTAATATGATTTTCTTTTTTAGTTTTTCCTGAGATAAGTATGAAAGATCTTCGTACAGATTTGGCATTAAGCTGAGGCATTTTCAGCAGAGTCCAGAAAAAGAATGCGTGATCAGATTGAATGCTCACTCATCTCTTGGAATGCTTTTGCCAGAAAAGAACTGGGGCTTATTGTCAGGATAGTCCAGAGAATTTTCCTTACTTGGTCTTTTCCAAAATTGTTTCAAAGAGCAACAGGGCTCCAGCTGAACTGCATCAGCACAAAACACCATCACAGACATTCATCAGATAATAGATTTTTTCCTGTTTCTTCCCTGCTGTATTGTTAGCTGGCATAGTAAGATACATTTAAAAACCAAGAAAGTGTAAACTAAACATGGAATGAAAGTTTAAATGGAATGAACAGCAAATGATTCAAAACTTCATCTTATTAGATTTTTTTAATTGCGTTTTAGAAACAGGTCCAGTACAAATACCACTTACTCATTTTTTTCTGACTGGGCAGTGTCCAGTAAATGTGTTAGAGTTTTATAGCTCACTTTCAATCCAAATACTCGTGATCCTCAATAAAACCATCCCCTCTGCAGATGGAGGAATATGGAGGCGACAAGGATTGCTGCTGCCTCCTTTTCTCAGGGAATGCCTCCACTACATTTGCCGTGTCAGGAATTGAAGGTGAGATCCACAAATGCTCTTAGAAACCCAGGCCCATATGTAACAGAGAATTTAAGCTGTTAGATTCTTATGGGTTTCAACTTAATGGACTAAATTGTAGATAGGATCCTTAATGTTTTATTGAGTCTCGGCTGTGAAGCAGTGTTCAGCTTGCTGAATTTCAAGAGAGTGATCTAAGCATCTTACAGCCTCTGCTCCTTAGAGCATCTACATTCTTCCTAGGAAATGTGATTAATGAAGTCCTCCCCAGTGTGGACCCATAGGCAATATAATTGTAGCCAAGTCGAACATCTGAACACCTTGTTTCTTTGCTAGAGCAATTCAAGGCATCCCTCTGGTCAAGTTTCTTGGCATGCAGTCTGCTGGGCTCCATGCTGTCGAACAAGACCTTGGCAGCTGAGCTGTCTTTCTGTCTAGATTGCCCTTATGTCTGTAGGAATGTGCCTTCATGGTTCCTGTGAAGACAAGATTAAAACCTGGCCAAGTCATGAAGCTCTATGGGGAAAATAAAAAGTAAACCGAATTAACCACTGTGTACTCATCAATGGCAGTGATTACCCAGTGCCTAGCAGCTTTTTTCTCAATAGAATCCATGTACACTGACCGTGCTCCATCCCCTGATAAGTCAGACTTTTCCTACAGTTGCTGCCTCTGGCTGCTAGAGATTTGAGGGTGTCAGAAACAGCAGTTGAAGCCAGGGGATCCCAGGCCCTCTTTTTATTACCAGTCAGCAAGGTGGAAGAGAAGCAAACAGTATCCTGGGAGATCAGAGGCATGAGGAGTGAGACAAGAGTTGAAAACTCAGAAGAGAAACAGAAATGGGGACAGAATCCAGAAAGGAGGTGGAGATTGAATTGAAAAAGACAAAAGTTGGGATGGAGCAGTCAGGAGCAAATAAAGTCTTTATTTTTCTCCTGTAGATAGTGGTGTCACCCCCATTTTACGTTGAAGAAATGAAAGCACAGAAACAGGGTATAAGACTATCAAGATCACCCACTGATTTTAAGTATTTGACTGAATGCAATCCCTGGTCTGATTTTCTGGGGCACTTAGCATTTTTAGACTGGTATAACATACCGGTCACAGCTCTACAGCTTTCACTTGCAGCTAAGAGTGCCCTGCATTCTTGCAAATCCAGATTCAGGTGTCTCCAGCTGAACACACAGTGTGAAGGTTGGTGCTTTCCTGAAGATACTGATATTATTGGCTTGCTCAAAATCAAATAAGGACCCTGTGACATAGGCAGAGATACAGTCTGATTCACAAGGCTCACATTCAAATTCTTTAACTATGAGATCACCCTTTCTATTACTTCAGTTCCTGGCTGTGTCCACCAAACACCTCCTGCAATAAATGAGGTTGCAGAAATCATGCAGACAGCAGCCTCCTTCACCACAGAAATCTGATGACCAGAGTACCACTGATTCTTTGAAATGGGTGCAACAGAGACACTCTAGAAAAAAAATTATGTGATAGTATATCCGAAGATTGGTAACAAATGGTAATAATATATTCTTAGAAGGGACTTCTATTGGGATGCCTATCATTGAATGCTTCTTTTTTCTTTTTTTTTTTTTTTCATTTTTTGGTACTCTGTTTTGCAACCTTACGTTCTTTTGATATGGGAGGACTGACTGGTTTTGGAGTAACGTTCTATAGATTCACATTGTATGGCATTAGTATATGGTAGGATTTTCTGATGCTTAAGCTACTGAAATGAGTATATTTTTCATCTGTAATATTTGAAAGAGCTTCTTTGGTCATAACAAGCTATACCTGATGTTGAAAGCTACTGACATATAGCTAGGAGGAAACTTCTGTTTAGAAAGTATCAGAGGTCATAAACTTAATTTTCAGAATGACAGAAAGATGAAAAGACAGGAAGTCCAAGTGTGTCTGTATTTATATAAAAAAAGTACTTGAGAAGTTTTATTATGGCAGAAAATTATGAGATCCAAAAAGCTGATTAAGAGATTTGGGAATTGTGGTGGTTTGTATATTAGTAATAAATGCGTAACTCTGGTTACTATTCCAAAGACCAGATGCATAGTATGTGTCTCAAAACCACATTTTTTTTTCCACAAGTACCACACATACCGCATGTTAAGTTATTTATCAGGCTTCTGTTGTGGCTGCTAGAAGAAGATTACTGTTAATATCTATTCATAAATTTTGAGCTTTGTCAACCTAGCTCAGTAAGGAGGACATCAATCCCTAATTGTTGTTGAGCAAAATAAATTATTTTCCACACAATGTTCTCTGGCAAATAATTCACCTATATATTACAGAAATTACATACAAACAATGTTCCAGTGGAAAGAAGACACCGAGGAGCTTTCATAATTCCCAAATACTAATCTGGAGAAAAACAGTTCAGCAATGAATTTGACAGAATGGGCCCACTATTCTTTTTCTTTCTTACTGTCTCAGTCTGTTGCATTTTACTACTTGGTATTAGAGACATAAAGTACAAGCAGATTAAAAATAGACTCAGAAAGACTTACACTCTGGAGTGTAGCTTAGCTCAGCTCCCACTTAACTGAATCTTGGAGATGCATGACCTCAGTGTCATCATGCATTGCTTGTATGTTCCTTAACATTAGTAACTAAGCAAGCAAGATTCTTCATCAAGTTGTCTTCTAGTCGTTCTTCTTTAGTATTGTACTGTGTGGCGATTTTCTTCATTCAAGAAATTGAATGTTCTTTAGAATAGTTTGTACTTAAATTCCACTTTTTTTGTAAATTTGAATGTGGTAGGTTTGTTTCATTGTCTTCTTGGGACCACCAAGTAATTAGCATTTCCAAATACTATATTGTATATTTTTGTTTGTATCTCCATTCCACATGTCTTTTCATGCCCAAAAACACACCACCAAAGTCAACCAGACAGAAAATATCCAAATTCCTACTTTTTTTTTAGGAATAAATACATAGTACTGTTTGTTAAGGATTTTTTTACAGTCCTATAGGCTTACGCTTCCATTTTTGTCTTTACTGTCAACACTTAATTTAAAATTTCTAAATTACTTCAGTAAAATTTTCTCCATATTTTTTTTTTTTAGTTGTGACCACAAGTGAGACCAGCAGTTAATAACCTTTTACTTTTTTTCTTTCAGTGCCCCATATGTGCAGTACAGTTGAGCATCACTGTGATCACTTCTGCATAAACACCCCAGGCTCCTACGTATGCAGATGTAAACAAGGATACATCCTGAATGCTGACCAGAAGACTTGCAGCAGTATGTTGTCTTTCTTAACTTTTCTCTTTTATGCTCCCAAAAGGTGCTTAACATCACATACTCTTTTTGTTGGGCTCATAAAGAAGGACTGAGCTCAGTATATAATTAATGGTAATCACCAGGAGTCTGAAAAGATGAAGTTGTAATTCTTTTTCTTGTTTTGTGTAAATGAAGTTCTTACACTTACAACATTTCTGAAACACTTCAAGCTAATTCGTATACACAGCTCTGCAGAGGTATACTGTAACTGCATAAAATTGCATTTGAATTTTGTTGGTGTAGTAAGTTCAACAATGAATCAACAGTCAAAGAAAGAACTGTTTTATCATCTCACATGAAGTGAATCCAACTATTTGTCTAGATAGCAACCAGTACAAAATAGTACAGAAAGGCGCAATAAACCCCATACTAGAGAACAGTGAAATAACTTGCCATTCTGGAAAGCTCTTCCTAACTGTGGCTTTAAGTGTAAGGGTTTGCAACCATTCAAATAATAGTTTCAAAAGGCTTGCTTATGCTCTGATTCCCTTCTTTAAGAGAGTTGACTTTTTTCAGTTTTAAGTAATTGACTTTATGGTTTATGTTAACAGACTGTATTTCACTTGAATTGTGATCCTTGTAAGCAGTATTTCTTCTGTCCATTTTAACTTGCTTCCTAGTAATTAACAGCAGACTACATTAGATGGGTATGCCAGATTTCTTTCTGTATCCACCATTATTTCAAAGAAATTATGTAATACTATTTCTAATTACTTGTGGAAAATGTACTTGCTAAAAATGCAGTTCCTTATCCCACAACAGTTCATGCATTCAAGTGAAATTTGCCAAACTGATTTTAGCCAGAAGAAAAATTTTGGAAAACGTCTTTTCAAAAAGCTGGAGGAGACAGTCATGGTGAGAGCATAGGATGTACCCCTCACAATTGATGATGCAGAATTAAGGTGAAGGATGCAGGCTCAAATCCTGTCCTTGTATTTGAACTCACATGTTCCACATCTGAGGAGAGTGCCTTAAAACAATCAGGTAGCCTGGGATTAGAAGGTTCTTAGTGTCTCTTGCTTCGTGTTTTATTTTATATCAAATACTTAATGACCACAGAAACAGCGAGAGTATGCCAGTATCTGAGGCGACTGCAGCTGGGGGATTAGAGTCCTTACATGTGCAGTGAGACACATGCTTTCAGTCAGAGCCTCAGTAAATAAGAATGGGAACAAAAGAATGTCAGCACCAGAGTGATCTGGGCGTTCTCGTTGCTCTGTGGAAGCATCTTCAGACCCTTTGGGCTACAGCAGGAAACTGCTTTTATGCTGTTCACCTCCTATGCTGTTGACCTATAGGAAGAGTTACTTTTAGGAATCTCTGTTTTCCAGTCCTTCTCACCAGCATCCTTCACCAAATGTAGACATTTGTCATATGCATGTATGTGAATTATAGGGGAATGTCTTGTGTTAAATGGAACAGATTTAACACTTTATTTGTGTTTTAGTTTCCTTAAGAAGATGGAAAAAAAAATCAATCCAATCTGGAATATTTCCTAATTATTATTTGGTTTAGCAGCTGAGCCAAGACAAGAATAGTGACAAGAACAATTTTTCACATAGCGTATTTTCTCTGCTTCCACATATTTGCTATAGCTCTTCAGAAAGAGGGTGGTCAGAATCCCAAATGATGGCTCCAACTATGCGATGACATTTCAATATTCTCTAACCTATTCTTTTCATTGTGTTCCTCTTAAAATGCTTCTCATCTAAAACTTTCGTATCCTTTAAACCTTTCTTTTAAATCCTCCTCATGCTATTTATTTTCTTAAAGAATTTTTAAGAACAAATTATTTTGCTTTCAATTTTCTGGAAATTATTTCAAATTCAAAATATCTGTTATTTTTAATTTCCTCTCACGTTTTCCCCATCCTCGCCTCTAACATCAGTTTTAACTGAGGGGTTTTTTTGAGTCAATTAAAAAAATTTTATTTACAAGTATGAAAAATTCTTTATTATGTCTTTATTTTATTTTGTTACATTTCCATAGTTTTTATCAGCCAGTAGTTCAGCTTTTGGGCACTGCACTGCTTCAAATTACAGATTGATTTCCAAGAGAGTTTTGGAGTTGTGTGTAGTTCACCTAGACCATGCAGAGTAGCCCTCAATATGTTCCCTCTCTATCATTTTTCAAAGTCCATTGCTGCATTGCTTCACTTTTTTTTTTCTTAGCTATGACTCGGTTTTATATTAGTTTTCTCCATGTATCTGTTACACATGGTTTGCTTGGCTGTGTACTTGTTTTGATCATCAATCAGATGATACTAGATTGTAGTTTGGTAAATATGAAAGGGAAATGAGTCATTCAGTGTGTTTGTAGCTTACTTCTAATGAATGTTTTTCTACATCACCAAACTGTAAACTAATTTTAGCTATTAGCACTGGAAATGTAATATTGAGATCCATCAAACTGGCCGTAAATGTGCTAGGGTGGTGCAAATCGTGGGAGGTGATATGGCAGAAGTCTAGACAAGGTCAGACCAGTATGTCTAAAAACTTCCCAGAGAAGTAACAGATTTAATGAGGGAAGGGGACCATGCCTGGACAAACTGGACACCTTATTTCTGGAGGTAAGAGGAAGCATGGCAATAGAAGAAACCCACAGTCTGTGAACATTTTAGTTACCTCCATTGGCTGCTGTGCACAGAGACAACATGTTCCTCACTTGACCTCTAAGTAAAATAAAATAAATCTTCCTCATGTTTGTGTTTAGTGCAATACGATGTTCCTCACTTGACCTCTAAGTAAAATAAATAAAATAAATCTTCCTCATGTTTATGTTTAGTGCAATACATGATCAACATAAACCACATGTATTTATCTAGGGTTTGGATGTATTTGCCAGCTCTCCCATGAACAAATAGTTTCCTCACATATACATTTTAACACTTTCTAAATTAAACAATGCAGAAAAGATGAATGGTATGACCTAAAGTTATACTCTTTTTTCATTCTTCTGTTCCCTTGTATTTATGTTGTGAGAGTACACCGTATCAGTATTCGGTTCTTAGAAGCCCTTAACCAAATGGCTTCAATCAGTAATGAATTGACAACTTTGCTTCAGGCTGGAAAAGGGTGCATTCCTCTTTTGAATAGAAGATAGTTTTGTTCATTGATACATTTTTTTTATAACATTGTTTCTTAAAAAATTATCTCCTTGCATTGAAGGAAGAAAATCTGCGCTGTTGTCATTTGTTGCTTTCCGTGCGGGGAAAAGGAAAAAAAAAATCAACTTGACTATCTTCCAGAACAAAACTAGGGAAAAAAAGTTCTTTTGTTTAACTTGAAATATTCTAACATTTATTTCATTAAGATGGTTTTGCATCCATGCAAAAGATGCTCCTTTCACATACTCTGGTCTAACCTTTCTAGAGGAAGAGTGGTTGTGTCAGATAATGGCTATTCTTTACTCATTACACTGTATTTGTTTGTTTAGCTTAATCTCTTCCATTTATTCTTCTGTAGAAATGTTCAGATCTTACATTAATACACAAAATAGTACAAAAAAAGGAAACATGGCTGAAACAAGCTGGAAAATTATCTATTTGTGGCTGTTTATACTGGAACAAGAGAGTTAAACGACTGTTTATGCTGTTCATCATGCCACTTGATAGGAAGCAGACAGCTGTAAAAGAAAATTCATATTTGCTTGGCTAGTTTCCTCAAACATGTTCCAAAAGCCTTTTTTGTAGCTGTAAATGATCATTATGTGTTGAACAGTCTTTGGGCCTGATCCTGAACAACACAAAGTACTCTGCTTTCCAAAGATTTCACTGGAGAAACTTGGGGTTCTCAGAAAGCTTTAGTCTATTGAAAAGAAAGCCCAATGTGCTTGATTCGGCCAGGTGCTGAACTGACCTCATTTGTCATAGAAGTTTTTCTAATGAGATCTTTTGCTTGGGACAGGTAACTTGCTATGGTATTTTGCACAGAACTGAAAAATTATAAAACTCAGGAATGAAATATTCCCAAGTCTTTCGCTTTCCAACCTCGACATCATTTGTCTGGGAGGGTTATGCAAAGAAGGAAAAAAAAAAAAAGACAGAAATAAAATTTTTTTTTCTTCCCCCAAAAAAACCTGTAGAATGCCCTTCAAACTTTTTGGAAAAACATACAGTCCAGCAACTCTACTAGGCACCATTGGTCCATCAATAGTTATTGCCTTCAGCTGAAGTAATGAGCTCCTCAACTTTGAGTGATGGTTCTTGCTGGCATAAGATTTTCATTGTTTGACAGAACATTGGTGTGATCTGTGTTAAAATGAGTTAATCTCTAAAAAGCTGTTCATAGCTTCCTGAAATTTATTTTTCGTCTATGGTCTACCCGTGCATTAAAGGTCAAAGAATTTCATATTCATGCAATTATGTTTTGTAGCTCAGGACCTTTGTGCTGTGGAGAAACATGCCTGCGAACAGATTTGTGTGAACACACCTGGGTCTTATGTCTGTCAGTGTTACGAAGGATATGAGCTTGACGCCAATGGAAAGAATTGTGTTGGTGAGTATGAGTTTAGCAATTCACATTTATCTCTTGACACAAACCAAAGGGAAATTCAATGTAAACTAATATCCAGTTTAGCCATAGACAATGATGGGAAGCTCTCTTCTTCTGAGTGGTAGATAAGGAAGAATACATATTGGCTTGTTCATAGGCTTCTACTGATAGTGAATAGTGACTTGGGAAAATTGTTCCAACTATTTTCACACAGAAAGTAAGATTGCTGTTTTGAAACGGCACACCAGATGTTTTATTCTAGATCCATGTAGGTGGCCAGCAATGTACTGGCATGATAGATGTGACCATTAAAAACAAAGAAAGCCAGACAAGCTCAGTAACTGCTCTTCACACAGAAGTTATACATGGAAAAACTTGGAAGTGGACAACTTCTTGCCATTTCTCACTTGGTTTTATGGTCATGCCAGGAGAGGTTTCAGACTCTTTTTAGGAAGATGACTTTAAGGAAAGTTTAGCCCCCCCTTAAACTTAAGAACCCATCCACTATGTACCTTTAATTTTTGCTATGGGCAGTAAAGAAGCAAACATCAGCTCTAAGAATTACAACTCAAAAGAGTGAGTGTGGAAATACACTATAATGATTTTTTAACAGAAAACATACTTCACTCTCTATTACCATATAAGTAGCTCACTCTTCTTCCACATTTATACACAATAAATACTTTTAGCATAGTCTTTTTCACTAGACTATTAGCCTTCTCGCAAAATTTTCATCCATGCTACATTTTGGGAAAATACTGTCTTCTGGTATCCACCGCAAAAAAATCCCAAACAAACAAACTAGTGATTTCTTGGAAAAAAATCACTTTATTTGTTAGGTATTCTCTTCAGGCAAACACTTAAATGTGTGCTTAATTTCAAACACATGCTGAAATCCCATGGAAGTGAATCCAAATGAAACCTTGGCTACAAATCTGCCGCAGGCCACACCATGATTTTATCCAACAGCTTACTCTTTCTTGTCCCTTTAAAGAACTCTAGCATTATAAGAATTATAAGAAGGACATGGACCAGTTGGAGAGGGTCCAGAGGAGGGCCACGAAGATGATAAGAGGGCTGGAGCACCTTTCCTATGAGGACAGGCTGAAAGAGTTGGGGCTGTTCAGCCTGGAGAAGAGGAGGCTCCGGGGTGACCTTATAGTGGTCTTCCAGTACCTCAAGGGGGCCTACAAGAAAGATGGGGAGAGGCTGTTCAGGAGGGCCAGTTGTGATAGGACAAGGGGTAATGGTTTTAAAATAGAGGGAGGTAGATTCAGGTTGGATATTAGGAAAAAATTTTTTACCATGAGAGTTGTAGAACACTGGAACAGGTTGCCCAGAGAGGTGGTGGATGCTCCATCCCTGGAGACGTTCAAGGCCAGGTTGGATGAGGCCCTGGGCAACCTGATCTAGTTGGAGATATCCCTGTTCCTTGCAGGGGGGTTGGACTAGATGACCTTTGAAGGTCCCTTCCAGCCCTAACCATTCTATGATTCTATGATTCTATAATTTGTCTCTTATTACCTTCACAGGGCTATTACCTTGCAGAATAAGCCTATTCTGAGGAGCAAAATAGATGACAGTTTATGGAACTGAACTTTCTGCATCTAGTTTCACATGGGACACACAAATGAGGTTTTGAGATTTTTTTAGACCTAGCATAACACACACGGTTTTGAAGAACATTCATTCTGTACTTACTCTTCAGAAATGTTTCCCTTACTTGAAGCTTCATTATCTCAGTATAAGAGTGTTTAAATTTCTCAACATAATTTAACCTCAGCATAATTTGGCTGCTAATATACCATTTTAAGAACCTGCTTTCTGAAGTTGAATTGTTTTGAAAATGCAGCTAATAATGGCTTTTTAGGCAAAAAAGCCTGTTAGATGTTCTGGCCCAAACTTCTACATCTAACATTCCACGGAAGTTCATTTAATAGCCTTAGCTAATCCTTATGACCTCTACCTGTGTTAGGCTAAAGCATATTTTGCTCTGCTGTTGAATTGACTATATACTGAGACAGAAGATCCATGACTTCTGTTGGTAGATTCTTTCATCCCTAATTCTTTCCTACCATATATTCTAATCCAAAATATTCATGCTTAGTGTCATCAGCTGTTGTTACTATCTTCTCTCTATTAAGTGGAAGGATCCTTTACAGCCCAAGATATTCTTACTGTAAAGGTGGCTACCATAGCATCATAGGGATAAAAATAAATTTTAATGAAATTCTTTGTATGTCAAACCTAATATTATCCTCCATGATAAATACGAAGTCTATTTTTCATAGTAAAAGCTTCAGAATATTTCTATGCCATTTATTAAATTTCTTACAGTGGCACTTCTGTTTTGCCTGTTAATAATTTCTCTGCAAAGTCTGAAGAGTGCTATTTGGAGGTGTGATACATCTTTAACATTTTTTTTTCTGCCTCCTCATTGACTGTCTTTGGCATGTAGAGGTAGAGGCCTATTATAAGCTCTATTGATGACGTTTGAAGCTTTCATATTCTCAATTATTTTCAGTTATTTTTAAAGACAATTCATGCATGGGTTCACTATGATATCTTGCATTTTATAATTGTCTTTCCTCTCCATTTCTGTTCATTTATACCTAGTTCAGCAAAAAAACATGAACTCATGCTATTCATACCCCTGCAATAATTAGTAGTATTAATTGTGATTCTGAAGCACATTATTAGCACTTCTGATTTTCAATTTTGTTTTGCATTTATTTGACCATTTCACTTTTTTATTCCTTACTGATGCACATGAATGGTTCAATGTATATTAATTATGTTTTACCTATGCAGAACTTAGCCTCTCTACATTTCTGAACAGGGAAAGACTGTCTGGTTAATTTGTGGTTTTGATGCTAATTTGTCTGCGAATCCTATTAGTTGTCAGTGTCCAGAATTTGACTTTTCAGATTTGAACAATTTTAGATTTTTGAGGAGTATGCTACTACCAAGAGTGTACAGCTTCTGCAGATTTGATCACCAATGAATAATCCTTGCTGGAAAATCTTTTAAAGGAGACTATGCATAGTACGCAATCAGGAGTGATAACTCTCAGTTTTCATTACTCTAAAGCTAGTTCCTTCCTGTGAAGTATTTATTATCAAATGAGCAGGATCAGAAGAAAGATCTTGATGTACATATATACACTGAGTACAATGATCACTAAGTACAACGACAATTTTGCAAAAAGCAGTAACTTCATTAAGGTTAGTTTCCACTTCACCCAAAGAATGAAGAGAGAGTTTCAGGAGGACATACGCATCACAGTTCTCTTAAAGAGCCAAAGGTTTCTCTCTAAGATACCTAAAATTTTAACTCCAGCAAAACTAAATGAGAAAGTGTAGAAGACTCATTACACAGGCAGGTTTATTAAGTTCTCTTCCTCCTTTATGATGGGCTAATTTCTCTGGTTAAGGATCTAAGGCAATGCTGATTGCTTCATTGACACATGTGTCAGCCAATTACCTGAATGGCAATAATTGAATAAAATCTCACAACCAGCAGCTCACAATGTATCTATTCAAAGTGACCAGTGAATGACCAACCACTCTGAGTGTTTGCAACACACTGTTTATGAACAAATTTGTAGACTAAACAATATTTGAAACTGTCTGCTCAGTGATAAGTATAGCTGGCAGAGCAGTATCACTTTGACTTTTCCAACAGCTTTCCGTGTTAACTGCCCTCCTTTTGTCAATTAAAGCTTGATCATGATGAGCCATGCTTTCTCCATCATGCTACTGGACACTCAGTCTCTCCACCTTCTTGGTATTGCTGGACATGCTGTCCTCTCTTTCCTGGCACTAGTGCTAGACTGCCTCTCTATTGCTGCAGCTGTTGGGTTTGGGACCTCGTCTCCTGGAAGTGGTTTGGCTGCTGGCATGTCTCTGCAGTCCTGGCACTGCTACATTTTTTTGGCTGCTTTCTAGGTGCATACGAGTCTTCCATGAGTCTGCTCTACTCTTCCCCCACATTCTTTTTCATCCTCCCTATGCTTATACTTATTCTGTCACCTTTTCTTCCACCGTTCTCCTTAATTTACTTCGTTCTCCTAAGCCTGAATAACCTATATAAACATCATAGGAGTAAAACAACAATACAAAAGAAAGGTGACCCATGCTGTTCACAGCTCACAGAGGGCAATAAAAGCACCCAGAGTGCAGAACTGGTAACTGGAAATAAAAGATGGCTCTCACTACTTACCAACTAATTCCAAGCAAGAAAAACAGGGTGGAACAAACGTGGGGAGATGACAACTGAATTGATTGCTTGCTCACTGAAAAGGTCATTAATTCATCCTTTAGTAAAGTTTCTTATTGAAATATGCATGGACTAACATTAAAAACAGTGAGATGTCTAAGTTTTCACCTTCTAGTCTATAGCTCACGACTCAGTACAGAAATATGAAAATAATAAAACTTGAGAAAAATAGGAAAATATTATTCTGCTTTGCTCTTATACTAACTGTGTGTATTTTCTGCGTACTAAGTAAAGGATTGCAGTGCTTCAATATAAGAAATATAGATTTATAATGTTTCTCAGTCTTTTCAGGAAGATTTAACTCCATGAACAACTTACCTACTTGCTGACTGGAATGCCGTTGACAAGTTTCTCTTCTAAGCAAGTACCACCAAAATGAAACATGAAGCTAAAAGTGAAATTAATTTGTAGATCAATTACTAGTGCCAATCTGCAAGGCTAAGCCTGTCGGGAATTAGGGCAATTGTATACAAAAATTGTTGAAAAAAGGGAATTATGCTTATCTTCAAAAGCAACTGTCAAGAGAACGTTCTCAGTCCTTAACTGTGTTAGTGGAAAGGCATTATTTAAATTGATACGCTCATTATTCTTACAGGCCAATAGACCTAAATCTGTGAGTAAGAAGCCTCCAGAATGACTATAACTGGAGAAAAGAAAGCCTGAAAGAATTAGTTATTTATTTTGTTGGGTTTTTTTCCTTTCTGCCCATAGTATGTTAGCATCTGCATAGCCATAAGAGGGCACAGTTCCTCCCTCAAGAGATTGTCATCAGAAAGTGCTCAGAGTCATAGTTGCCTAGATGTTGATAATGCATTCTAACACCTGTTTAGTTGTCTCTCAAACAACAAAACTGGTGAAAGGACTGGAAGGCATGTCCTACAAGGAGCAGCTAAGGACTTTGGCTTTGTCTAGTTTGGAGAAAAGGAGGTGACCTCATTGCTCTCTACACCTTCCTGAGGAGAGGAACCAGAAAGGGAGGTGCTGAGCTCTTTTCCCTGGTATCCAGTGACAGAGTACATGTGAATGGTTCAAAGCTGTGTCAGGGCAAGTTCAAACTTGACAGTAGGAAGCATTTCTTTACTGAGAGGGTGGTCAAACACTAAAACCGGCTTCCTAGAGAGGTGGTTGATGCCGAAAGCCTGTCACTGTTTAAGAGAAATTTGGACAATGCCCTTAATAACATGCTTTAACTTTTGGTCAGCCCTGAAGTGGTCAGGCACTAGATGATTATTGTAGATCTCTTCCAGCTGGAACTATTCTATGCTATGCTATGCTATGCTATGCTATGCTATGCTATGCTGTGCTGTGCTGTTCTATTCTGTTCTCAGCTTTATAATCATTAGTTGGGCAGTTGCAGGTATTGTGGTAGAAATGCATTTCATTAGGGTTTAAATGCAGAGAAGGAGTTGACTTTATGGAGCAATCCGTATGGCCTGTTTCCAAGGTATAATGCTAGATAGAAAAAAATTACTATTTGGCCTACTTATTTCTTAATGCATCTTTTAAAACACTTGAATATGTGCATGTGGTTAGAATTAATTTCAGAGGAAAGCTGACTAATTGTATGACACATTATATCCTTGAAATATATATTCAGTAAATACGTTTTTGTATGAAGCTGTTCAGTCTGGAAACAGGCAGGAGTTTGCCAGGAAAATGGTCTCACATGGTAGCCAGTAAGTCGTCTAATTTGACTTGGTTCATCACAAATATTTTGAAGGGTTAAAAGAAGCTCTTTGAAAGTAACAAAATGGATTATCCGCTTTCCTGACTAGATGACCTTGACTAAATATCTTAGCACACCTGAGTATATGCATGATTTGCAAAGGCAGGGCTATTGAATGAAATTATTTCATTAAAACAAATTACTGCCTTTTAAAGCAACTCAGGAGGCTCAGCAGTATAAAGTGGTGAAAAAATTACTCAGTTGGCAAAGAATAGGAAGCTATCTCATTCAATGGCTGTGAAGCTGAGCATATTACTGTCTTCTGCAGAAAGAATCAGGTAAACTTCCTTAATGTGGGTCTGGCAGCTCTTTGGGGACAGAACAGCTGCTTTGTGACTTATCTTTCATTTCTTCTAAGACCTTCTTTGTGAAGAAACAGCTTAACCTGCAAAGAAATTTAAAAAAAAAAAATCATTTCACTTCTTTGGCACTTTTGAATGGGCTTGACTGAGTAAACTCTAAAGTATTACCTTATTACCCTTTGGCAATCTATCTTGCAAATACAGGTTTGTGTAATAAATGATGAGACTTATGAAATGAGTGACTGGACTAGCTATGATGGTTTATTTCTCTCATACAAAAGGCATTATACAAGCAAAATGTCAGTGGTGAATATCAGCCTGAAGCTCTCAGGCTTCATAGCTGCTGCTACTTTTTACAGGATGAATCTGGAGCACATTAAAGGGAATGAATGTGCTGTGACAGTTCTCGGTGTAGAAGGTATTGCCGTGGGTCTCCTATACACTCAGGCTACAGGAACAGTTCTTGAGAACTAATACAGCTGGAAGGGAACTAAGGAAAAGTAGAGCAATCCCAGGACTGGGACTGGAGAGACACAAGACAGAACTAAATGAAGCAAACTTTGCTACGCCCTGGTCTTCAATGCGAACATCTGGACAGAGTTACTGACTGAGGCATGGTTTCCAGATCTGAAAAAACATATTGAGAAGCCTCCTGACAATCTGAGAGTTGATAAATGTTCAAAGGGTAGGAGAAATGGTCTGGGACTCATATCAAATTTGATGTACCAACTGGTATTGAACATGCACTACGTTTTGCAGAAAGACTCTTCACGACAGAAAGTATGTCAGCTTTTCCTTTTTCTATAGCTACTGTGTGTAACTAGTACCATAATCTCTATGCATAATAATTCTAATTTTGTTTTTCTAATTGTACATGTTGGTCTTTTTCAGTTGTAGACTACTGTGCTTTGGATAACCAAGGTTGCCAACATGAATGTGTTAACACCGAGGACTCCTATTACTGTAGATGCCACACAGGGTTCATTTTAAATCCAGACAAAAGAACTTGCAGAAGTAAGTTATGATAAGGTTTTATTATGAACAGTTTGTACTTCTTGTATCTTCCAGTTCTCAGCAGTAATACTCCCACTGGTCCTAGGAACGCTGAATAATGTGTCAGGTACAAAAAATGTTGGAGTGCCCTTGAAACCAAAGGTAATGAAAGCAATGAAAGTTGTTTTAGAGGGTAGTTTGGGTTTTGGGGAGAGAAGGTACTGATAGGGGTCCCTTCTATGCACAGGAAGGTTTTAACATGAGAGCAGGCTCTTTTTACAATCTTAAAAGCCAAAAACCTTGTCTTCATAGTCTCCTTTATTGTCTAGATAAATTTTCAGTTAGAGTATCATCTCTCTAGCTAGATAAACAAACAAATCTGTACAAGACAATTTAAAATCAGCTTGTAAGACAAGCTAAAATTAATCAGAATGAGTAGTTCCGCAATCAGAGGAAACATTGCAGCCTATTTTCCTATGAATTTTTCTCAAGAGTGAGTTCTTTGATACTCTGTGCTCTGGAAAGATCAGCATCTTCTACCAAGCTTCCATGTTTCCACCAGGTTATAATAACTTCATAGCTTTGCTTGCTTGTCTTTCATCAAATTTGATTGCTACTGGGCTAACAAGCTCAAAAATTACCAGAGTTGGGAGCAGATATAAAACGGAGGGGAACTGACAGACCAGAAAGTGCTCTTGCCAAGGCTTCCCTTACTTGGGAAAACAAACTAAAACCTCCACGGCGTTTAATGTCATAACTCACTTTCAGGAAATGTGAAAGGAAAACCTTAATGTACATTCCTAGTTACCTTTCTTCAAAAATATGGATCTTGATAAAGATACGTTACTATTTTGTCTGTAAGCAGAGAAACTCCATTAGTTTTAGGTGAGTGGAACTGCTGATGCCAGTGGTGAATTTAGCCCGTATTGTTGAGTAATTTGTACAAGCATTATTTCTCAAAAAATGCATCAATATAGCACTGCGTTTCTGTGCTTTCTGCAGCCTTGGGGGCATTTCAGTCTTTATGATGAGAGACTATGTTAACCTATATACTGTATTTTGTATTATATTATATTACTTGGTATCTATTTCACTTAAATTTAACATTTAGAAAGAAAGCATCTAATCC